AGAAAGCTTGATTAACAGTCTGACCAGGTAGAACAAACTCCAAATGCACTATGCCCCTCACATCACATCTGTTTTTTGGGGGGTACTCTCTCGTATAGCATCACCCTGAGTTAGAGTCTATGTGCCAGCCACAAGTTTTTGGTTTTGTTTGTTGGGTAGGGCAATGAGAACCAAAGGGCATGGCTGTGTGGCTTAATTCAGCAGTGATTTTCAGTTTTCAAGATGATGCAAACAAAGCATAGTGTGACTTTTATTCAAAGGAAACTTAATGGATATATTGTATTATTTAAGATATGGCAAAAATGTATTATGTGAAAAAAAAGAAGAAGTGTTTCTGGGGGGTAAGGTATGGAAGGGAGGGTACAAAGGGGAGCTGATATCAAGGAATTAAAGAAGAAAATGTTTGGAAACTGATTGTGGTAATAATTGTATAATACTGCTTGATCTGATTGAACTGTGGAATGTTATATCTGTAAGAGCTCCCCATAAAATGAGAAAAGCAAAACTAAAAGTGCTGAACCAAAGAAAACCCCAAAAAGCAAAGATGGAAATTTACAAGCAGGGTGTGGATGATGACAGAAAAGTATATTGAGTTTACACCTGATAAGCAGATTTTACAAGATGTGCTTTCTCACTGGCTGTACTGCAAATGTGAATTGCTATGCTCTAATATTTTCATTCTAATAACATGTACTATGTCCTGGCATAGTACATGAACAAGTATTTTATAAATTCCTGTGTAGAACTAAGTGTTGTGCATAGAAGAGGTTTCTTTAAAATATCTAGTGAGTAAAAAAACATAAGGAAAAAAGAAACGTCTTGATATGGCTATATAATTTCCCCCCTGTTTTTTTTTAGGTTTCCTTGCTACGATTTCAGAGTACCCTGGTAATAGCCGAGCATGCAAATGATACCCTAGCACCCATTACACTAAATACCATCACTGCAGCCAAAAATCTCGGAGGTGAAGTGTCCTGCTTGGTAGCTGGAACCAACTGTGACAAGGTGAGAAATTTGAAAGGTCAGCCATAGCAAATGTAATCGCCATCAAGAGACAGGGAAAGATGGCAACCAAGAAATATGGTGAGGATGTAACCCAAACTGGGCTCTAATCCTCACTCAGTGGCCAGTGTCACACGATTACTGCATGTGACAAAGGCACTGAAGGGCTGCTCACTGAGCGTTTTCTCGTTTGAAATGAAGTCGAGTGCTTGATTTAGTTCCCCTGGCACCGTCATGTGCCATCAGGTACCAAGTAGAATGATAATATTTGAGTCCCC